TAGATTGTTCCCAATGTTCCACTAGATTTTATTTTAACCGTCGAATAGTAAAGTCTGGGCAGATTGCGAATTTATCGTGGCTTTTATTACTAGAATCCTCTTGCGAATATTGCAAGTGTTGGCATGTTTATGGAGTTGACTGATTCCAATGTCACACTGTCACGAAGTATTGAAATATACATATCCTGCACCAGTTACATTATCTTACTTTTATGTATGTAGCAAGTACATGTAGAGTGCTCTAAGTAGGTAGATATACGACTGAATTGTCTATTTCTAATACGACTGACGGAAAATAAGTAGTCACAGAATATACGATGACTCCTATGGTTCATGTGTTGTCCTTGTCATTTACAGACCTACCTTAAACGGTTATTCAGTTCAACTATATTATATGTTGCGCTGTTTACGTACATATGTAATAGTGAATATTGAATAGCTTCACAGACCTCTAGAGGCGCGGTTACCATTAACCATAACATAACGCGTCAGCTTAATTGCCATTCCATTTACACAAAAAAGCCTGACTATCTTCTTGTACATATAAATGGTGGTCTTGATGGTCTAGCGGTTTAGCACACCGCCTTACTTCGGATGGTCGCGGGTTTAATTCCTCGCACGGTACAAATATTTGTATTCAAGAGCACGATAGTTTGTATCGGTCTGGGTGTTTTCTATGTATAATATGTCTATGTATTTATTTTAAAAAATCTATGTCCTCTAGTACCTATATAACACAAGCTCTAGCTAGCTTAACTCGGGTCTAGATGGCGCTGTGGGAATTGTCCTGAGATGATGAATATTTTTATTTATTCTTATATAAATTGCTCGATTGCATCAGTCAATTCTATATGAGTAATATACATGTCGCTCACGTAGTACTAGTGGGAAATCCGATACACACACGATAATATACGGTCGTACTAGGCTTTTTACAAGGTCTTCGTCTTAGGCCATAGTGATTTCATTAAACATTTTATTTTTAATTAATCTGCGAGTCGGCGGTAGGTACGCCTCTTGTCAAGTTGCATTCCATTCATCCATTACACAAAAAGTATGTTCAATGATATGTGAAAAGTGAAGTTGTGACACATGTTTCAACATAACGGCAACTGTCCATTACCAGATGGCGTCCACTTCATCTGGGATCATGGTAGTCAACATACATATGTAATTACTACCTGACCCCGCAAGCGATAGAAAATTAAAATTGTACAAATATATAATACCAAAAACATTGTAAATCCACATTATCACATTAGTTTTATAATTAATTTGGTGTAAAGGTAACAAGATTTTGATTACAGCAAAAAGATACTTCGAAATCAGCTTACTTTTAACTAATGAAGACATCGCATAACATAGACACAAAAAATATACAAAGAACATTCCTCCTTGATAATAACTTAAAACGAGAATCATCAAAATAAAATTCGATTGACAACTGATGAAAACAATTAGTTTCATAACCTATCCGCAACAAATCATCAAAGCGGATGATAGATTAAATATTGATAATTTATGATCCTTCAATTACCTTTAATAACAAGACTTAATAACATAAATATTTAGCCATTTCCAGTCCTAGTAAAATGGAAGGTGAACGTACGATTACGGAAACAGACAGAGGTCGCACTGTGTATGACGAAATAGTTTTACACTATGACGTGGCAGAATGTCGTCCATGTCCCGGTATTTAAATATAACATGTCGCAGCTTTCCGCATCAACCAACACGATAGTCTATAATGTATACCGCCTACCTTATTATTACTTTGTTTACAATTACAACCTCTCTTTATAAGAGTCTCTTTATTCTTGCTAATCATAATGTTTGCGGAAGTAACTACATAGTATTCAATGCAAATACAAATTATAGTAATTATTGGTTCTTTTTCTTCATGTGAATTAAATTCAATGAAGTAAAAAATAGAAACTGTGAGTAGTCGTCCGGGTTCTGTGCGTAATTCAAGAAAACCATTTAAATTAACATTACTATTATAAAAGGTGCTAAGGTAAAGTATTTCTTAAAACAAACTAGCAATTATCTTTTTTTATCTGGCTAAATTGAGTAAATAATCATTTTTTATAAGCTAGTTAGGTCGCAACTAGTATTAACAAAGTGATCAAAAATATCAAATAAATAATGATTACAAATATAATTGAAACAGTAAACGCATTGTATTTTCAATTAGATTTTGAAATTTTTGAAGGTAAATTAGCAAAAGTGTAATAATTACTTCATCCAGCTATAAAGAGAGAGAGCAAGTGTCAAGGTGAAAATAATTTTACACATTATACACTGATAAATAAGCTATACACGCCTTTATGGCGATGATCTAAAGAAATCGTGAACAAAATATAAGTAAGTGCTAATGAAAATGTTAAATTTATAAAACTTGAATAGATTACTCAACTGCAACTAACTCGTTTAAGTGAATAAGCAAATAACTTCTTTTAAATCTCTCTTATAAACGTCCTTACAGATATACATATTTTATAGCTAGCTGACCCACGTAACTTCGTCTTTTTTATGTTTTGCTCCATCGATATTAGAAAAACATCCATTTATCATTAATACTGATATCGACCTATGAATATATCGATGTACAGTAAATATCGAATAAGAAATATTTTGGATAAGAAAATATAAGGCTTTTGTTTTTTCGCCCACTAAAACTAGACTTGTTTTTTTAGAACGTAAGTATTGTTACGCCGTTCCAATATTCCGGTCTTGTTTTTAGACCGATACGACTGATAACTTGCCATGGATATGCAAATGTTATCGTAGATGTAACATCAATGAACATCGATATATTCCACTAGTTCACCAAGGTTTTTCAACTTCCATTAATATAGATAATCCCTATATCAGGATAGTTAATTTATGTCAGGATAGGTAATTTATTTTACAGATTATCAACTTTCATTTATGTTCTGTGGACACGGTCATGGAAATATAGACATGACGTGACGAGTAGTTACGTGTATGTTTATTGCAAAAGCGGTAAGTTTTATGGTGTGTACATAGTATTATGTACATTTATCAAGTAACAAATACGGGATCTCAGCGTGGTTTAATACCGCTACTGGTATCTTTGAAGTTAGCACACTAATTATGCGGCAATGTCAATGCAAGTTTCGGCTCGAGATATTGAACAATTTCATGCTCAGAAATTGTTTGGGCGCTTTCGGGTTGCGAACTATTTAGCTATTATATCTTTGGTGGAATTTAGTATTTTGGCAACGTAATGCTCTTTCTCTTCTGACATTGAATTTAATAACTACTAAATTAAGATAATTTTAATTACGCTATTGTTGGAATCATATGAGAATACATCACTTTTCATGTTTGTATACTCTTTAATAATCAAATGTATGTTATATAATCAATTGTAATTGTAACTTCATAGTATAATCCTATTGATAGAATTAGCAGCAGTATAGTTAAAAAAGTTTGTGTTAATCAGATTGAAAATTTCCATTACGTATATAATATTTATTAATAAACGTTTTTGGGACAATTTGCATAATACTTTATGTCTTAGTTTTAACATTGAGATGGAGTTAGTGGTGTTAAAGACTTTGTTATAAATAATATTTGCATTGATTTTAATCACATAGTAGGCGGCGTTTCGATAAGAGTCGTGCTCACGTAAATATGATAGCGACGCTAGATTTATCAAGATGACAAAAATCGTAATATATTTGTCGCTTGCCTAGTTAGCCTCTATAAATTATTAACATTATCTGTACATGGAATTTTTATGAAGTTAATGTAATATTTTGTCACGCCACAGCTAAAGATTTATACAGTCTAGGAATAAAATTGACACAAAGGCGGTACTACTTCGACAAAAAGAAATAGAAGATAATGACTTAAATATTTAGAAATCCAGGTGTAACAACGAAATCAGTGAACTCGAAACAGGGCGAGCACAATAGATGTTCGAAGGTCGCAGTGCCACCGCTTCTTAACACCTAACAATAGCCCAATTACTTCAATAAAAAAAAAACAACGAAATCTGATATTTTAAGGAAAATTTCCTCTCTGAATAAACGATTGCATTATACAATACAGTCATCCCGTCCCAGATTCGGTTTTATTACAAATCTTTAAATCTTTATGTTATACATACAAATCAATCAATCAATATAAATACAAATCTTTAAATTACTATGCTTTTCTATTTTATATATTGTATATATATACAAGTTTTCTTTAATCACTCTATCTATTGCTGAAAACTGCATTAAAAACCGTTGCGTAATTCAATTAAAGTTCTAAGCCGTAGAGACAGCCGCAGAGACTTTGTTTTATACTACGTTATACAGTATAAAAATCGCAATTGATAATTTGATAAGTTTCTCCGCTCTTATATCTTTTGATAACAGATTTTTATTAAAATTTTACCAGGAGTAAGTTTTTACGAGCACATCGAAGTAATAAAAGTTGTGCCGCCATTTCATGTTTATAAACTCTGTATTATTTAAAGACTTTCCAGTACTTGTAAGCCAACAACTGTTTCATTCAGTAACTGTTCTTAGTTACTGTTATATTCGTTGTATTCGATATAATATAATATTATATACTAATTTTGAATGAAGAATGAATAGATGCGCCATAGATACATCAAACACTGACTCATGACAAGTAACAATACAATGTTATAGTTTTATAACTGTACTTAACCCTGAAGACTGTGTGCCCAGTTCACAAACAGTAACAGTCAATCATAGAACTATAGGTCAAGGTAAACAGGTCTTATGGTGTACCATATTCGTACTTCCATTCTAATTCCCTACAAAGAATGTGAGGTGGACAACATTATTCTTGCATTGCAATCATTACAATTTAAAATGACAATTGTGTTACATAGTTTGAATTTATTAATAAGTAAACAATGAATAAAATAAACATTAGTCAAATAAAATTTACACATAATAGAAAAATACAACAAAATATGGAGATTGAAAACGAGCAGATGTACATCTACATACCTGTGTTTTAGCATATTATCTGGAACAAATACATTCCACCAGGACAATCGCTTTTGACGAACGTACGCTGGGGGAGTATCGCTCTCTTCATCTGTATCGTTACCACCTGATTTTCGTCGTTTCTTACGTTCGAGCTGAAGCCGAGCGGCCCAAGAACGTCGCCGTCCCTTATCATTACGACCGTACAAATCACCTTCTACCGGGACGGCAAGTGACGCCCGACGTGGTAACTCCGGCGGTGGTTCATCGAATTCCGTCAACTTTCTGTATCTTTCAGCAAATGTGGCATCTGATGCTCTTCGGCCATTTGAAGTGGACCGCGGCGGTTGGCTCACGTCTACTAGCTCAGTGAATATCTCGTCATCGTCAGTATCGGGGAAAGCTTCTTCACTGAACCGGCGCGGCGTTTCGTCAGCTGCCTCTTGCAGGCTAGCTAGCGGCAGGCTGGGGCGGTGGGCTCGGAGGCCGCGCGGCAGACGACCGGGCCGGCCCTGCAGCCGCGCCAGGGCCAACGGTACCGGCGATTCCGTCAAGGTCGGCTCACTACCACTCATCATTGTAATTTCACTGTACCAATATACTTTCACTATACTCACTATGCTGAACAAACAACACTATCACGGCTCCACCATTGTAGCATATTGTTCGCAAATTTCATGAACATCAAAAATACTATCAGAGTATTTAAATTGTTCTGCAGTTTCGTTCACTAAATAACAAAAAATATATAAGTATATACGTGTTTTAAACCATTCCACAAAACTTACAATTATACTATTATGTATGTGGCATTATCAGTAAGTTGATAAGTACAAATGAACAGATGAAACGTATAATTTCTTTGTAAAGTACATACATTACAAACTCATTTAGGGTTTAAATTAACTCCAGAAATGTTATAACAGCAACAAAACTACGCCTGTATTAATAAAGAGGATTAATCATTTTGGACTGTTAACATTATTACAGTGTAAATAAAAATCTTTACTAAGAGACAATAAAATTTATTTAAGGATAAAAAACTGGTATTATCTCAATTGACTTAATCTGGCATATCTTCCGCAAAGAGCTTACGGCCGCGCAGTATATGGCGCTTTCATTCACAGTGAACGATAAATGTGTTCACATTAACTACAATGCGCCACACAATTTGGTTAATCGTAACCAATCAACATAAAATATCGAAATGAACACTACGTTACGGCTATGTCATACGGCGGGTCTTAATAATTTTCATGCCTTTTATCGACTAATTGCTTTACTAAGTGAAGATATTGTAATAATTATTTTATATCTTGGAATCGGGAGTGAAAGATATACCTATACTCAAATTAAAAAAAAAGTGAATTTTAAAAACCATGAACAAATATCGAGAGATGTAATTTTCGTGAAAAATCAAGCGTATCTGTAGGTGAAATTTTAAAAGTATGTACAAAAGTGTAATAATAAATATATAATAATAAATAAATAGGATATGGTTTGTACTAAAAAGTTGCTAAAATTAAAGAAATGTTTATATTTCAAATACCATAATAATATTCTATGTACATAACTAGTGAGCAATATAAAGCAAAATTCAAATTATTATCTGTAACTAAACACAATTTCTGTTTAAATTACGTAGGTATTTCGCTTGTACTTGCAGTTCCATACAATCAAGTCGCTATAAGAAATCATTGCAGTAACAAGTGACGGCGCTACGCCATATAAGCAGGTGACTGCAGCTTTCGTAACAGCCTGACTGTAGTCTTATGCAGTTAACGAACGAACTAGTTGGAAACAGTGCTCCACCGACGAACTACACAAATTAATTCTAAGATCTTTTTTTTTGTAAAATACTAATAAAAGAAGTCTAGCTAAAAAAACAAGAATACATTTTTTATGTGACCCAAAATAGCAAACTCACGATCCGCCTGATTTCTTTTTCTGACTACAGTAAGTAGTAATCAACAGTATCACGGATATCACGTCCATGATCCATGATGTAGCTGCATGTGTATCCTGTAATTTCATTACCTTTTCTCATCCTTTAACGGACACAAAACTTACAAATTAGTCTGCTTGCGGTTGATATAAGTGAGACAGAATCCTCACGCAGACAACTTTTTGCAAAGTCTACGTGGGTTAACCATACTTCCGGCTAAGATACAATACACCATATTTACTACCTAAAACACCAAGAACACATATGGGTCTAGAGGTTGACTACTATCTCTGGCTCTAGTCCACCAAAAGAACTAGTTAGTAAGAGATATGCGAACTAAATGGAGCGCTGCAAGCCGCAAACTAATTATGCGCAAGACTACCTGTCTGACGTGACATCGCACCGGGCGGTCAGCCGAGAGTACGACGCTGCGCTTTACGGCCAAAGTTACCTACGAATTGCATAAAAAAGCCAAACCACTTCATATTATTTCCACAGTTACTTTTAGTACCAATTATATTCATTTTGTTACACAAAGGTTGCGAGAGCATCTTCAAAGATTTAATGGGCTTGAATCTCGTGCCAATTTTCGACATCATTATCTTCGTGTATGAAGCTAAAATAAAATGTGAATCTCTCATAACAATGTTTCTGAGCCTAGTAAAATGTATTTTAACAACAAATTTCATAAACCCTTTCATTTATTATTATTGTTGGAATTTCTTTGTAAATAATGTTATTATCGAATTCATCAAGCACGTGAACTATAAGAATACTTTTAACTAAAACATTTTTTTCATCACAACGGTACCAGCCAAGCCAGATAATGGCTCTAACTATTGCCTCCACGTGAGCATGAAGTGCTAAATGTTATGAAAATACCGGTTTGAGTAAATGAGTTCAGGTGACCTGAATACGTCAATCAAATGAGAGCTGTCCGCCCAAATGTCACTGTTGAGATTAACCTAACATCGGTGGATCCGACGACCGACATAGCTCCTATCTCCATCTCTAATTAGTAGGTACCTGATCATATGTAATATAATAACCTGTTAGATTTATATATAGAATATTATGTAAGTACATTTATAAAAAGATTCAATGAGGAACACAAATACAATAGATATATTCACCGCTATGTGTTGTATCTAATTCAACACAAAATGTATTTAGTCAATAAAAAAGACGCTTATATAAATTGCCTAAACTGAACTAAAGAACTTAACATTTTATGTTTTGCTTATAATGGATGAACTCAAAATCTATTGAAAGCTACATTTATTAGCATGTAACAGAACGGTATTATTTTTTATTAGAGAACGTCAGTATAATTGCTCCATTGCTCCGGGGTCACTAGTATTTATATATTTACACAACTTGCTAAATCATTAAGTAATTTGACACGTGACACCTATCATATTTACGTGAATATTAAATATGTATAATTGAAGTAATTATTTTAATAATAATTGGTAACGTTAGTAATTATATATATAATATTACGTATGTAATACATATAATGGTAATAAAAAAATATTATAATTCTATATATATTTTTTTCAATTATTATTTTACGGTTTCAAAGATCTCGTTTATCAGGCGTCCCTGCTTAGTATAAATAGTACATTATACTATGCACCTAAACCTTTACTCTGTTAATAGATGAAAATTGCATTAAAATCCGTTCGGTAATTTTCGAGATTATCTCGGACATACGCGACGCGACGGTATTTTGTTTTTTAAGAAGTATAGATATTACACTAGTCATTAAGTCACTGGCGCCATCAACGCTTAGTTTGCATGCATAAGTACGAAGTGGGAGTTATCAATGACTACAAAAAATCATTCAGACTCATTTTACGGACCATTTATCAGATCATAGTAAATTGTCACTCATCTATATTTTTGAATTTTCAATATAGTAATAGTGACTATATTAGACCATCATAAAATATGACGTAGGTATGCGTTGTTTGAAGACAAGATAAAAGAACCAATAGCGAAGTATGTAATAAAACATCAATCATCAATAAGTATCGATTCTACTATTTGTTAGGAAATATCGTTTAGACAATGCCTTTGATGTTTAACAATGTTTACATTCAGTTCGAAGTATATGGTACGAGTACGTACGCTGGAATAATGTTTCTTTAATTAACACTATTTTATTACAAACATACATCGCAAAAATATTTTATGAGACAATTTATTTATATTCTAAATGACTATCCGGTAACGGAACCTGCGATATACAATCAACAATTAAGGCGGGAAACGACCTGCCACGTTGCATTCGAAAAATGTAGACACACCAAGTGTTGCGTTTAGTACCTATAGTGTCGACGGTTGACAATGACTTTGGCTACACTCTGGAGTAACAGTCATAACGGAAAGTTAGTTTATATAACGCACAATCAATTTGCAAACTACCTCATTTAGAGGCGAAACACGTCGCAATATGGGTATGGATCCAATAACGGTTGGAATTTATTCATTAATAGGGAAAGTCATAACGCTTCAGCCGTGGTCAGGTTTCCAGACTGAATATACGTAGTCTCACACATACTAATGGTAGTGGAATTATACAAAATAATATAAATCCATTAAATAATGAAATGCATATTCATTGAAACACCCAGAGCAATACAAACAAAAGTTTGTGCCTTGCGGTGAGGTGGCATCCATCGGATACTTCCGCCTTACTAGGCGGTGTGCTAAAATGTTTTTCAAGTTATTGTAATGTTCTCAAAGTATACATGTATAAATGTAAGGGGATATGTCTTCGACCACAATTAAGATTTACAACCGAATCATAACCCAAAAGAAGCGAATTTTGGAGTCTGCCTCGACTGAAACTAAAACTTTCTTTTGAGATCCCTTATGTAGTTTATAAGTAATAAGTATTAGTTACATCACATGTTAAACAACCTTGAGTTAAATCCCAAAACTGTTAATTTACGATATATTTTCACTGCGCAGAAATATTATTAAATCGGAATCAAGTCCCCAACTGTGTTTGTTCGTCTGTACAGGATAATCTCAACAACTACTGAACGAATTTATATGCGGTATTCATATATCAATAGAATGATTTCTGAGGAAAGTTTAGATATACATATAATTTGTTAAGAATTTGTGTACATTAACTGAAATAGTCTATTAGAATATTTCAGGTAGTATGCTAGTAAGTATTAGTTAAATTAACTTAACGTACTTTACAAGGTAACATGTGGTCAGAGTACATCACGTCATAAAAATCTATAATCTTATATTATACACTAAGTTAATAATCTGTTACATAGTATCAGACGTTATAGCACTTGTTTTAAAATCACTATACGGTTTTATGGTAGAATAACGTAAAAGATGATAAAGCACGCACCGACGTTCATAGTATATGTGTTGGCACCTCTACTCAGTTTACATTTCATAGTTACAGCACGTCCCAAACATACTGAGCTCAATTTTACAGTAGGTATAACGCAAACAAACTAGGTTTTCACTCGCTTCAATAGCTGTATGTGTATTCTACAGACATATCTATGTATTTCTATCTAACAACAATGCTTAGAATTAAGGATGTTACGGAGGTGTTCCGGAACTTGAGAGGATGCCGGATGTAATAAATTTGATTTCTCAAAGAAGAGTACAGAGATTTATATTAAGGTCAACCTAATGAAATAATAGATATTAGAAACGTAACTCGGTAGTCTCTGAAATAATATTACATGTAACCTGAGATTCAAAATAACCGGAGCGAAAAATCGAGCAGTAAAATAAAAACA